AAATTCGTAGTTTAAAAAATTATAATTTAATAAAAAATAAATTTAAAAAAACTATTTGTACATATGTATATGCATAAGAAATTATAATTTTAAAAAAATTATACATAAGAAAAAATTATTTTATTCAAATTTTATATGCTGTGTTTATATAATTAATATATTTTTCCGTTAATTTTTATATACTATGTAAACTTTCTGTTTAATTTTATTACTTTGAGTTAATTTTACTTCATCATAATTTAATTTATATATTTTGGTATTATTTAAAAATTGTCTACTATTTTTTACTTTACTACTATTTTTCATATATTTTTTAATACAATTAAACAAATTTTTCACATTCCATCTTGCATTTGTTTACATTTTTTGGTGAAAAATACCCACACAAGCGAAAAACCTCGCAAAAACAACACCAACCAACAGTCGGTTGCTTGGTCTTGGTTGAGTGCCTTTGAAAATAAGAAGTAAATAACAAAACAGCTCGACTTAAACTTGGCTTGGGCACATAGAAACAAACAAACATCACAAAAGTTATGAAAATAAAAGAAAGAAAGAAAAAATATCTAAATTATTGCAGAGGTAAAGTAATGTCTGAGTTACAGGTGGGCCAAGAAACACACACCAGCTCGTCTAACCGACAATGTGCAGCACATTTGATCGCATTACAGCCGCTCTAGTAACTAGCGGCATGTAACATAAATATTTATGTGAATACACGGACATACCATAAATGTGTGTATGGCTATGTATAGAAGGTATGTTTAGGAGGTGTATGTATGTATGGAAGGTGTATGCTAAGCTGAGCATATAGCAACTTTCGTTATACAAGAAAAAACGAAGAAAAATTTTAAAATTAATAAAATAAATATATAATAAAATAAACTTCAGGTGGGGGAACGCGCGCGCGCACTCAAGCGTCTTACGTGCAATCAGACAGTCAGTCAGTCAAGTCAAGCTAGCAGTCAGTCACTCATTCATACTAGCAGTTGGTCGCGCATTTGGCCCAGGCGCATGAGTTTAAGATGACTGCATTACCATTGCTGCGTTAATTTGCCACTTCTGCTCAGGCTACAACCGTTAATACATACTTGCATACATGTATCTGTGTATGTATATATCTGTATATGTATACTACAAACGCTGTTACCAAGTTCACTTTACTGTTACGACTTTCTTCAACTGCGACTTCGCCTTTACTGTGACAGCCATTTTTTATTTCAATAAATTATAAAATATAAGCATAATTTACAGTTATGTGAAAAAAGTTAAGTAAAGCAAACGCACAATGGCCAAGTGAATTGTTGTTGTTGTTATTATTATTTCTACATACTAAAGCAACAACTATATAAAAAAAACACTTGTATAAGCGTGTAAGTAAACTGTTGCAAATAGTAGGTGCAAGCCGTTGCAGAAGACAAAATTAAGGCAAGACAATTAACAGCTAAGGCAGTCGAAATAATCATAAAACAAAAACGAGACAAAATTATGAACTGTTAGTGCTGGCACATAAAATGCAACATACCCCCGATCCTCCTTTGGCTTTGCGCTGTTCTTGGCGGGTTAACTTAATTAAGACAAGTGACGTTCACCACAAAACAACAACACACACAGAAATATGTATGGCAGAAATAGTTGACGAAAAACGCGTTTGAATTAATTGTTCGAAAGTACACATACATACGCACACACAAGTTGCATAGAAAATATATGCCGCACAGTGTGTTAAATAAGTATGGAATACACAAGTGACTCCATATACATATACATATAAACACATATATATGTATATACATAGCTTAATGTGTATCAAATGCGCCTGAGGTGTCATCTAAACACAGGTTGTGCAAAGAAGCAAATTTTTTTTGTTTTTGCAACAATATATCTAATTTTTTTGCGGACCCTTCTTATTAGCGGCATGTGCGCGAATTTCAGTGGCAGCCCCATTGTCAGTGGTATCTGGCAGATACTTAGCTACTTCCGTAAGTTTGCTGAGTAGTCGAGGCAATTAGTGCGAAACCGTTGAGAAATTACTGCAAGGCTTTGGATTTCTGCTGCTCTAGCATAAATTATTATTTGTATAAATAATTTGTCAAGCGAATGTTGATAAAAGTGTGACAGATGGGCAGAAATCGCACACTAATAATTGTAAAGATTGATATACAAAATATAAAATAAATTAACTAACAAATTTAAATTAAAAAAGTAAAAAAAAAAAAGTTATGTATAAAAAATTTTTGAAAAAAAAAGTATGTATAAAAATTTTTTGAAAAAAAAATTTATTACAAAATTATCAAAAAATAAATAAATAAATAATATATAATAACAAAGCAGATTTTTTATTTTTTTAATTCACATTCTTATTAATGTTTAATTTTTTTTAACTATTACATTAAAAGTTCAAAAAATAATAATAATAACAAATAAACTTAAAAAAAAAATAAAAAAAATAAAAAAATAAACAAAATTATTAGTTATTAATTAATTTTTTTATTAATTAAATAAAATAACCTTATTCTCAATAGAAACTGTTCTATTAGCTGCAGAATACTGTTCATTGCACTATGTTAGTATACTTTGAGACTTTCAAGGCGTACACTATACTCGCACGCTGTGAATGAAAAGCCGCGAGCATTTTTTTCTTTTTGTGAAATAAAAATAAAACAACACTATCTTCAGCAAGCTACTGTCTCAAGACGTTTAAAGCCAGCAGCACATGGTATGATTGCTTGAAATTAGCGCAGCATGTTGTCATGCCAATCTTACGGCAGGAGGTTGACCATATAAGAATATTAAATAAATTATGGAAGAGAAAATTAATAAGCCTGTGAAAGAATGAAGATTATGTTAATAAAAAAAATTAGAAAAAAAGGAAAAAGCTGTGTGAGAGCTAAAATAAAAAATATATGTATGTATAAAAAAAATATCAACATTGTGATAAAACAATTTTTAATGATTTGTTTGCTTTTAATTATTATTATATTTATCAAATATTTTTTATTTTTTATGGTTATTTTTTTCTGTTATAAATTTTTATATAAACATTTTAACCGCATTAAATTCAATTTAGTGTTAAAAAATCTCACAAAAGGCTGATTCAAAAATGCCTGTCAAGTATTTTAAGCTCAAAAATGTGGCAAGAGTAGACACAAAAACTTTATTTTAAAAATCGACTTGAAGATATACTTAAAATAGCAACATGTAAATATTTATCAGCTGCTCCCAAGACCGCAGGAGATGCATTTAGCAGTGGCAAAGGACTGCGGCAATGCAGCAAGAAAAAACCGCCGCTGGGAGGGAGAGTGCACTTAATAAAAAAAGTGGAAAAGTATAAAAATAAATGCAAGATGAAAAGCACGCAAAGAAATTAAAGTGCTGCAAGATGCCGATATCCGACCAAATTAATTTCAGCTGAGCAAAATTAGCCACACACAAAAAATCAACGGCAATAAAAAAATGGGAACAGCAGATGATAATCATGCTGATGATCCTACACGCAGTAAAGCATACCACTACATACATACATGCATGTATTTATACATATATACTTAACTCCACAGGAGCAAGCTGAGCAGAGGCGGCAGCAGCACCCAACAACCAACATATGTTTTCTCCTCCGCTGGCAGCAGTTGTCAGAGACGGCGCACAGGAAGAAAAAATAAATAAAAAAATTGTGTAATTTTAGCAGCACTTTGCAAGGAAAAAATGTGCATTTTGCACAAAGCAAAAAAATGCGTGCAAAAGCAGGAATTCAAAAGGGAAAAAAAAGTATATTTTTTTTGAAAAGCAACTGTTGAAGGGTTAAGAGCGTGCAATAAGAAGCGCTTACAGCAAGCAAAGGTGCCATTCAAAAAGCGAATTGCTGGTGGTGGCAAGAATGCTGGATGCTGCTTGTTTGGTTTTCCCTACACTCGCTTATTGTTAAAAAATTGTTCCCTTCGTAGCTCGCCTGTCTGCCTGCTGCTAGGTATTTGAAGCACTAGCGGCACATTGACCTACGCTGCGCGTCACCGTAACGGCTCTGAGACGAGCTGCCTTGCACTGCTTGTTGGTTAGTTGGTCGCAACTGAAGCGCCGGCGACAAGTTGACAGCCACAAGCAGCAATACAGGCAGGCAGGCCGACACGCTATTGTGACGCAGCGGCAAGCAAGTGAGTTAGTCACTTTAGGGGTGACAGATGTTTCTTTAAAAGTCGTACTCAACTAAAAATATTTTTTAAAAATAAAACTGCAAGTGAGTGGCCGCCATATATTGGTCATGCAACTAGGGACCTTAATTTAATTTTGTTTTACTTTATGACCTCAACTTTAAACAAATTAATTTGTATTTCGAAACATTTTATTTTTGTAATTATAAAAAATTTAAACATATGCATGTCCAAAAATAAATTTCCATATGCGATGCCCCTCATCAAGGTCAATTGTTAATTTTAGGGGTTATAGGTAAATATTTTACAATGTTTCTTTATATGTTTATTATACTTTTAACTCTTCTCTGTCGCCGCTCTTATAAAATTATGCTCCCTTTACTAGCATTTCTATCAGGGATCAAATTACAAAGGCAATCAAATGTGTTGGATTTTCATTAATAAATATAAATTTTGAATTTTTAGAACATGTGTGCTGAAGTGCCCTTAAGGCATGTTCACATAATGAAGCAGCAGCTTAGCTTTGTTTGCAAGGAAAATGTTAGAAAAGAAAACCAAAATTAAATTAAATATTAAATGAATGCGCCTTTGTTAATAAATATTTATTATTATTATTATATTATATTTATTTTTATTAATATATTATAATTTTTATTATTAATAAAACAAAAAATAATCTTAAAAAAACCTTTGTGCAGCAGAATAATTTAAAAAGCAATTTATATTTTCTCTTCAAATATCGTTAAAGAAATACTAATAAATAAAACTTTTATTTAAACTTTTTTCCATTTTTCAAAAAAACAACTTTCTTCCCCAAACGTCTAGAGCAAAACTATTGCGTTGCTCAACACTTACCTCATTGACAATGACAAAGAGCGTTAGAATCGTCGCTGATATCAGTTTTATCCAATTCATTTTGATATATTTGCGTTGTTTTCTTTGTCGTTAATCCTTGTAAATATTTAATCCAATTGCGCGTATTTAACGTTTGAAAATTGTCTCCTATATCAGCTGCTGCGCTGTCCGAATACTTTCGGTGCAGTGTGTTTTTTTATTTTATATAAATATCCTTTAATATGGCATTGAATATTCAAAAGCGTTGCTTATTTGTAACAAAATTTGTTAGTTACTGCCTGTTTTTGCCAACAAACATCATTCTTGTGCAGAAAAGCAATTAGCCGTTTGTTCTTAACACACACACTCTTTCGTAGTTTTAGTTTTTGCACAGCATTTAACATACATAAAAAATATATTTAATTATTTAATATAAAATGTATTTAGCAGCTAAATTTTTTGAGTTTTTTTATTAAACACTTTATGAACTGTTAGCTCAGCATGGCTATGCGCTTGTCAACTGCTGCAGTGTAAGTAGACAAACTTATTTTTAATTAAGTTTTCTTTAATATTATTTAACCGCTTGCATGCTTTATGTGTTTCATAGCTACTGTTTATTGGTTTCTACGCTACATAAGCTTCCACTTTACCTTTTTTTTTTGGTTGTTTGCACTATTTACGTTTGTTCATTATTTCGCTTGGAGTGTGTTTTTTTTTCTTTAAATGATTTTCAGCTTTTAGGCTTTTTTACAAAAAATAACGTTATTCTACTCATCAGCATTTGCTTGCGTGGGCGACAGCACGTGAACTTTTGACATTTGCACGCTGCGCAGTTCGCTTGCGTGCGTGTTCAGCGGCGTCGTCGACGTTGACCGTCTTATGCAAAGTAACGGTACACTTGCGTATCGCTGCAGAATATTTTTTTTATAAAAGAAATTGTTTTACGCACGGTCGCTTTATTTTTTTAAGTTTGTTCTTTTATTTTTCAAAGCGTTTGCAGCACTATAATTAAAAGTTTTTAGCTTTCTATCAAATGACGCGTATCCACGCTTTTTTCACTAACGCAAGTCCGTATGAGTTTTCCGGAAAACTAATTCGCAGCACAAAAGCACATGGAATGATTGTGAACAATTGAACTACTTTTTCAATCCAATTTATCAATGCAATTTCTTTAACGCAGAACTTTTTCTGTCTTCTTATGCAAATGCACTTGTATCACTTTGTATTTTCTCAATTTTTATTTTCAATAATTTAAAATTTTTAAATATTTCGCTTAATACATTTTTGATTGCTTCATTGAGGGCGCCACTGCACTATCGCGTAAAAATTCAGCAAATATTCTTGTGTTTATCGTGTTAGCTTGGTGCGTCTTCTAGCACTTCTTGCTTTAATTACTTTTTAGAACTCTAGCAGCAAAGTTGTAAAAATGTTGTTGTTGTGTGTTTGCTTCAGGTTTTGTTAGCGTTGTGCGATGCGCAGAACCCGACGATGTTCATCACGCAAACTTCAATTCAAAACTGCCGCTACGCTACGTCGCCAAATTGCTGCCGCCCGCAAAACTTCAACAACGCTGCGAGCAAAACAACCATCTGCATTCTCTGCTCTCTGTGGCGTCGCACCTTTGGCGCAGTGTGTGCGAGAGGCTCGGCATATACCGGCATGCCAGCCAGTGGCTCTGCTCGCACCTACAAGCGCAATGGCAGCTGCTCCGTCGACAGATGTTTTTCGTTGTTTGCTTTATGCAATGCATTCGCTGTTATTGTTGTTGCATCGCTTACAATTGCCTGCATGCATTTGCTCTTTAGCTACGATGAGCGCAAAGCAGAGAGTGAAGAGAGCATAGTGGGAGCACAATTGGTATTCTTTGAAGTTGTGCTCAAAAAGTGTTAACGTTTTGTTCTATCCAAAAGGTAGTAGGTTTAGTAGTAGATATTCGGGCTATGTTGAGTGTATGTGTGTAGTCGCTGCACGTTTCGTGGATGCGTTTTCTTCCAATTTATTGTTGAAATGCGAATGTATATTTTTGTAGTACTCGTCGCTTTTCATTACGTTTCATTGAGTCGCGTAGTATACTTCATATTCGATGCTCATTAGAAGGGCACACAAATAGTGGCTCTCAAACTGTTACTGGTAGAAGAAAGTTGTTGATTGATACACATTTTTGATATAATACGAAGAAAGTTCTGAGACTATGTTTTCAGTAATAACTCAAGTTCGTTGTTAGCGCTGCTATCTTGCCCGAGGAACCTATCATAAAAATACAGGTTTTTAAAGCGAGCCGCTTACTGCAAAACAGACGCCCGCTGTATCAGATGAAACAGACGCTACGTCCCCCCTCGAAAAAGGGAGAGGATTGTGTTATATGCTTTGTTTTAGCTTTGGTACTCACCTTCGACCTTACCGACTTGAAAGGCCCTGTCAGTAGCAAAACCATCGCCGGTATCGCTCTCAGGATCATTGTATATTTTGAGCCCCCTCTTTGCGACAAGATAACAATCCTTGAGGTTGGCCCTACGCTCCAATCGGAGTTAAAGAAAACACTATGTATGTATATACATATACACTTGTGCTCACACAATTAAGCCACATGAACGTTATGGTGTACAAATTCATAAAAGTTGAATATTATTGATAATTCGAAAAAAAAAAATTCACAAAATTAAATTTCATTGACTTCAAATTTAATGTGTTCATATTTTTCTTAAGCTATATATTAACTATAAAAACTAATATCGACTTTCTTCTTCATTGGTATGTATACCATATTTCATGCTCACATAACTAAGATAAAAGAATTCGATGTTTTGTTTAAAATATTTGCTTTATTTAGTCCCGTATTTTTTTTTTTTTTTTGGACCTCTTTTGCAAAATCACTTCCCTGGAGCGTTTGCTTGCTCTACGAATCAGTGTGTCACATTGGTCGGGGGTAATTTTGTTCCATTCGTCCTTTTCCGTTTTTTCTAGAATTTGTAGATTACTTAGAAATTAAATATGACGTTTTAGTTCTCATAAACTTTTATAAAGATTTCAAGAGCATGTTTGAGTTCTTCTTGTTAGATCTTTCCTTAAACAGCTCATTTTCAGTTCAAAAAAATTGTTTAGATGCCTTAACTAGAACATCCATAATGCTTCTTGGGAGGTATTAAGGTTTTTACTAAAAGTTAGCTAAATATTTTGTTAGTACGTGTATTTTTTAATGTCTCTAAAAAAAATCTCGTTTTTTTAAGCTTCAAGATCTTATGTTTTAGTAAGAGTTACATTTATTTATTGTTAATAACTGTTGTACCCAGACGTCGTTTTATCGTCAATCTTATCGTTACCCAAAAATGTTTGAAACCCCAATCTTTCTGGTTCCAAATCAATAGCTTGAAAACCGATAACAAAGAAATCTAACTGTATCACGACTGATCATTTAATAAGTCTCGGTCTTATGTCGTCTTAAGCGTAATTTTTACATTACTTATGGTTACAGCTGGAGCTGAGCCGTTATTTCCTAGAAGATCTTTTAATTTTGGACACTGTAAACAATGACAGATATTGGTTGTCTCAACAAGTTTCAATAGGCACAAAGCGCTTTGTCGACATGTAAGTGTCTATTGATCCGGCTCATAGGAGTATTGGGTACCACAACGGTACGGCGTTTAAGCTGTTCAAGTGTGCTCCTTCTTAGGATCGACCCTCTTACCTAACCTAACCTAACCTAAATACTGACATTTATTTGGATCACGCAAGCTCATCTACTCACCTTAATTCAGTATCGATAAAATAGTTTACATTACTAGGAGATGGAAACTGAACCAGATCGAATAGAAGTAAAAAATAGAGACGCCAAACGTGTCTGGGGCATGATGAAAGGGCGTATGGACAAAGAAATACTAATTTAGAGCATAAAAAGACAATAAAAGGAAGTGCTCATAAATAAACGATATACAATACATATGTATACAAAAGGTAGGCAGTTATACATATATTATATATACAGTAAATATGTATAATATATGCATACTCATAAGTAACGTAACGTACTTATATATATATACATGGACAATGCTTTATAAAGGTCTTCATTGCTTGGAGAGAAGGGTTAAATGCGCTAAATTGGTTGCGCGCGCAAATAATTTGTATGAAATGATTTTTATGAATGAGCTTCGCGGCAACTTACCTCAATTGTTGTGCGAGTAGAATAAAATACAATACAAGATTTGGCGGCAAACTTATTGGCTTGTCTTTACAAAAGCGCATAAATCTCCGGAATTTAGTGTTCCAATGTTGAAGGCGAAAATAAAATAAATAAATAAACAAAAATAGCAAACAGGCAGGGTTTATAAAGACAGCCCTAAAATCCGAAATTAAATTTATTATTAAAATATAATAAAAAAAAGTATTATCATAAATTTATAATATATAATTTTATATTTTAAATAAATTTAAAACATTCAGTTTGCTTTGTTTCCTGCTGCATATCCTTATTCGCAGTTTACATCGTCCTTGTAGAGGAGCGCATTGCAGCATATTTTATATACATACATATGTACATATTACTTTTAATGTCGAAAAACCTGCAACGGAAATTTCGAGCCAACAACAACCACACTTAGACGCACAGGCGAGCAAGAAAACTACCTGCTGCTGCACACGCCACTACTGCAAAAAACATATGAACAACAACAACGTAAAAAACGCATATTGCGTGCACAAAAACAACTGCAAACAACAGCAAATATTCTTGTATGTATTAGGTGTATGTACAGTGAACTTATCCTAAGCGAACGACCGGAAGTACCGGTCCGTTTGGCAATGCGAGTAAGGACGCAGCACAAGGTGCAAATAAGGATGTACAGCCCAGCAAGTTGAGCGAGAGAGAAGGAGAGCGCTTAGTCTTTGTAGGAGTATACAAGAGTATGATTTCTAGTTTATGCAAAGCAGTGATGGATTGCGTGTACCACTGCTTCCTATTTAACCAGAAATGCGATAAGGATGTGTCGGTTAAGGATAACTGGGTACGACGCTTACGATTTTGTGCTTGATGCAGTTACACTCATACATGTAGATATATATTTTCGTAGGATTATTGCATAAGCGCTTTGCTGTTTATGCTGTTGCGGTTTGTATGGGCGAGATTCGCTCAATATTTCCGCGTACGCCTGCGCAGCATCACTGCAGTTGTAATTTCGTGCAGCGGAAGTTAACATTCATTAAATACAATTGAATTGATGCTTGGGTAGATTTCCACGAAATTCCCACGCGCTGAAAGGTGTACGTTTCCGTTCCACTGACTTCGATTTCGGCATGCGAAAAATTCGCTCGAATATTCTCGAATGAAAAGGAAGAATCACGTATGGGAAGCTTGCATTCTGTTAAGACTCAACTTAAGTGTTGAGCTGTTTAGTCGAAGAGACCAAAACCCATATTGTCGTCTTTTACCAAACCCATCTTGTGATATGGAAAGTCTCTAGAAATGTTTAAGGCATTATTTTGGTTACTTGACATATCCGAGAGAGCAGTTTAAGATCTAGCTTAAATCAAATGGTCTTCGCCTAAAACAGAGTTTATAAACTTTATAATTTATATAAATAACAAGAAAAAACGTTGCCCTCGGTTGCACCGAAGCTACATATAATACCTTTCACAAATACAAAATATTTGACAAATACAAGAAATTCATTTTGATCGTTCAGCTTGTATGGCTACTTATGCTATAGTAGTCCGATTTGAACAACTTTCTCGGAGTTACGAACAGACAGACATGCCTAAATCGACTCTGCTCGTCACGCTGATCAATTATATATATATATATATTTTAGAGGGTCTCCGACGTTTCCTCTCTAGTGTTTCAAACAACGTGGCAAACTTAATATACCCTATTAAGGGTATAAAAAGTCAATAAACGAAATTTTTTGTCTAATCAATTAAATAGATACGCCTTAAATGCGTCTCCAGCTTTTAAACGTACACTGTATGCTTGTAAGACTGTTGAAATATGGTTAGTAGACCGCCCAAAAGGTAGAGAGATAAAAATCGGTAAAGAGAACTATTTAATATTAAGGTATGGTCAGATCATAAAACTTCGAACGGGTTTTGAACTGTTCTGAAAGATTAACAAAATTAGAGGCTCTTGAAACTTATTATACTTCATTCATGTGTTCATTTAGACCCGTGAGCCAGAGTTTTTAAATAAAACCGCTTCAAGTAGAAACTTCAGATGTTTGCGAGCAGTTCTACATTTTCGTTGTCTCCTGAAGTTCCCGGTCGGCTAGTTGTATCGACGATCTTCTAAACTGTGGTCGAGTTGAAAAATATCAACTTAATCATAACTCAGTGAAATTTAGCGTAATTTTCTCTCCCAAGTTGAAAGTTGGCATCGGTTCCTATAGGTGGGATTTTCTAAAGCAAGTGAATAGAAGGTGAACATATAATTGGCGAAAATTAAATATGCTTCGAGAATAATTAAATAAACACTTGACGAATTTTTTCGTCTGCCTCCTTAAGAAACTTGTTTTTGTATTGCTCTTTGTGTGTCATGTGCACGAAAAATCTAATCAAGTGAATCTCAAAATCAAATATCAATAAAATGTTACGACCTGCAC